ACCCACGGTTCCGGTGCTGTCATTTTTGTGATTTTTCTGTTTGCCTGTGTCCTGTCACACCCCAACCAGTCTCCACTGCTCAGTAAGACACCAGTCCCTCTACCCACCCCTCCTCTTCTTCCTCCTCCTCTTCCTCCTTTTACTTTTTTTTACGGTATTGGGGTTTGAACTCAGGGCCTACACCTTGAACCACTCTACCAGCCCATTTTTGTGAAGGGTTTATTCAGGATAGGGTCTCCTGAACTATTTTTTCAGGCTGGCTTACAACTGATCTCTGCCTCCTGATCTCTGCCTCCTCAGTAGCTAGGATTACAGGTGTGAGACACCGGTGCCAGTGCCCAGCTACCTGCCCCTTCTTGCCAGTGGCTGCTGCTTCTAGCAACCATCTGACCCATCCTGGGCATCCTCCCTGCACAGCTTCAGCTGCCTCGTAACCCCACGGTGTTTGCCCACTGCCAGCTGGAGGCTGTCGCCCAGTTTCTCACCAGCACTCTGACAAGCTCATGTCTGGGTGCTCAGATCCTCCCTGTGTTCAGAACCTGCCACAGCATGGTCCTCAAGAGTCATAGGTAGAACCTCGCTTGCAGTTTACACTATGTCCTGCTGTCATGCGTGTGCCGGTGGGGGGGTGGACTGGAGGTATGACAGGGACAGGGTAGCTGTGCAGGTTTGGTGTCAAGCCCCTGACTGTGAAAGTCACCTTCTCAGGATTACTATCCCTGGCCCATGTAGATGGGTGGGTGCTTATTTTGTAAGTTCAAAGAGAAAGCAAGCTATAAAAAAAAAACTCTTCATTTTACTTGTGTCATAGTAGACAAAGGGCACAAGGTAGTCTCCTTTAAAGACAACCCTAACACAAGCCCACCATGTTCATCTTTGCCCAAGAGTAACTTCATACTTCATCACAAAGCCTGTCCTAGCTGGGAGTGGTGGTGCCTTCCTGTAATCCCAGCACTTTGGAGGTGGGGGCAGGAGGATTGCAAGTTATGGATCCCAGGCAGCCTGGTATCCATACTGAGACCCTGTCTTAAAATAAAAGAGAAAAGAAAAAAAAATCTTGTCCTTACATCTCCTTCTCATGAGTGTGTTCACTCATCTAGTACCTCTCTCAGTCAAGGATCTAGTGGTTTTTTGTTTCCTTGCCACCTCCCACCAGGATGTGAACTTCCAGACTTTACTGACCTCTGCTCTGTCTTACATCCGTGGCACCAGGAGCAGAACTGGCATCTCATAAAATCTCTCTGCTGTTCAAAGAGTGTCATACTGATCACGCACAAGTGGCTTTGAGTAATCAAGAAAGAAAACCCAGCTATTCAGGATGAGAAAAGCAGGATTGTAGTATGAGGCCAGCCAGAGTAAAAAGTTAGCAAGACCCCATCTCTACCAGTAAGCCAGGCAGTAGTATGCACCCATCATCTCAGCTACTTGGGAGGTGTGAATAGGAGAATCATGGTCCAGGCTGACCTGCACAAAAACATGACACCATATCTGAAAAATAGCTCAAGCCAAAAGGGCCGGGGGTGTAGCTCAAATGGGAGAGCACTTGCCTAGCAACGACAAGGCCCTGAGTTCAACCCCCCAGGTTGAACTTGGTTTATGTCCATTCCCACAGAATGAAGGGAATGAGGTGGCCATGAAGAAATAAGCAGGCCATGGCCGTTGATCATGGTGCTACAGTGGCACTCAGTGTCTGTGTGTGCCCAGCAGGTGCTCTCTGCCAAGTCCCCATCGTACGTGGCCTCCTCAGGAACCACCTTGGAGGCAGGAGGCTGGCCTCAGCAGCAGCAGCAGAGATAACTGCCCACACAGACTGTCCTGAACATGTGAGAAAGCTTAGTAGCTTCTCTAAATAAAACCCACTTCTGGTAGAAAGAGGGCTCATAACTCTGAAAGCAAAGGAGGGAGATGACTTTTTCTGTTTGTTTTGGTCCCTGGGATTATTTTAAGATCACACCTGTGCACTTGGCACAGCATAGCCTGTTTGCCTATGTGCTGTCACTTTCATGGGACAGGAATCTTTTTAAAAGATACCTACTTATTTTTGCTCCATCAGATAATGAAGACTCCGGACTTCAAGCTTCAAGAAGCTAAATGAGTTAATCCAGTCACACTAGGTTAATGGCCACAAAGAGATGGAGGAAACAGGCGATTTACAGTTCAATAAGGAGTTGTCAATTCGGGTCAAAGAGCATCTGCTGTTAAGCAGGCCACAAAATCACAGCAACAGTTAAGGGTTCGATCCACAGTTCATGGTGATGATGCCCAAAGGACAGGTGTGCTGATGCAGAGGTACAGGTGATCTCATCGGGAGGAGTCATGAGTGACAGAATCTCCAATAATTCAGATCATCCAGAAGTTACAACCTTAATTTGATTATCAATCTACACGATGATGCATTAGAAACCAGAATATTCGAGTCACATGTAATTTAAACGTCGTGGCAATTCATAGGGGTTTACTCTTAGAAATGAGTTTGCAAGCTCAGCATGGTGGTATGCACTTGTAATCCCAGCTATTCAAGAGGATTGAGATTCAAGGCCAGCCTGGGCAAAAAGTTAGCCATACCCCATCTCAACAGGTAAGTCCTGTAGGGTGGTGTGTGCCTGTTAAGCCAGTTATGCAGGAGACATAGGTTAGAATTGCACTGAGATGCTGGGCCCAGGCAAAACCACGACACCCTATGTAAAAAAAATAACTAAAGCAGAAAAGGGTTGGAGGCATGGCTCAACTGGTAGAGTGCCTGCCTTGCTAGTGTGAGGCCCTGAGTTCAAACCCCATACTGTCAAAAAAGATCAAAAATGAGTTTGTGATCCAGTTCTTGTCACAAATCTGAAAAAAATTAATACATTTAACTATATAAACACTGTTTAAATAAAATGCAGAAAAATAAATGTAGGGGGGGAAATCACCACACTTGACACAGCATTGCTTACAGACCAGTGAGGAAAGAGTCCATACAGACTCCACACTGACGAAGCCAGGTGGGTATTTCACAAAACAGGAAGTATATCTAGTTAGTACAAATGTGAGAAAAAAAATTCAACCTTACTATTAATAAAAGAAATGCAAAGGGAAAACTGAAGCTTATTAAGAAAAGAATCTTTTTAGAGTGGAGACAGGCCTAACCGGGTTCAAGGCATGCTACCCCCAAATCTGGCACCCTGCCATTTTGAGACACCAGCAGAAACAGGAAGGTCAGTGTCACCCTCTTGTCCTCCCCCCCCCCACCTGGAGGCCATAACGGAATCTTCTGGCCTTCATTTAAAGTAGGCCATAAGACCTTAGTTCAGGAGATATTCCCCCATACCATATACCAGAAGAAAAGAAGGGCCCTTATTTCTGAACACACAGAGATGTCAAGAGGGATTTAAATAAACAAGCCTTGCTAATTGTCCCAGCCTCTTACTCCTGGATGCTGACCTCTTGGCCCAATCATGCTTTATTATGATAGTCTTTAGCTCTTCACCAAATTTAGGGCCAAAATAGGCAGTGCTCTGTTTGTTTTCATCTTCATTTGCAAAGGCTTCTATGTCACCTAGAAGTAAAATCCTGTGTTTTTCTCCTGTTAATCTGTCTTTTATTATAAGCTCCTCAGCCATGACCTTGCAGCATGTGAGGAAAGGGTATTACTTCTCCTCCCCTGCAGGCCATCTGTTTAATATTGGTGGGAATGTAAACGGATGTGTCATTGATGGAAAAATAAATTATTAAGTCCCTATAGAATATATCAAGATGTAAAATGTTTATGTGGTCTTCTTGAGCAATTGCACTTCTAGGGATTTGGATGAAGAAATATTTACACAAGAATGAAAGTATGCACACAGGTAATTGGTATTGCAGTGTTTATAAGAGTGAAAAATAAAAATGGTCCAAGTTGATACCAGTGCAGAATTGATGGGGGAGAGTGGACTGCTGTATGGAGATGTCCATGATACACGGTGAATGAACCAAACGCTTTAAAAAGTTCAGGTGTACAAAGACCCTGTTAATATGTCTATGTGAGTTTTAGTGAAGCTGTGTTTGTCCAGAATGTGAGTCCCAAAGACAGAGGCTCAGAACTGCTCCCTGCTGTACCTTTGCCGCCTAAAGCAATGTGTCTATTCTTGCTGTCATGCAGTCGTGTTCAATGGATGAGTGAGAGAAATTTAGAACATTCTTTACCAAATGTCAGTAGTGCTGCCAGTGAATTGTTCTTTGTTCCTTATGGTTTTTTTTCCTATCGTTTGAGTTGTTTCATGTTTATGAAAACAACTATTTTGAAAACATATTTTAAAATGTGTGGGTTTTGCCTAGAGCCTGTGAAAATGTGGCAGCCTCACCCATTTCTGTGGCTGTGTAAACCTGGCTCACCTTCCTAGGAAAACAATTTGATATTCAAAGAAATCACAAAACTATCCCTTTGTCTATTAGTTTGATATGGACATTTGTGCTATAGAAAAACTGCAAAATCTGAAGTCATCTATGCATCTAAAAGTCAGTTTTAATATAAGAAAAATAAAAACCCTGGCCAGCCTAGAGTCTTCTCTAATGGAGAGAAAGAAAATTATGTGACCATAACCCATGAGGTGGAGTTCTATGTGACAATGGCCAATTCTGAAGATTCTGTACCAGTGAGAACAGCAGGAGGCTGAAAACGGGCATGTGATGGGTTAATTTACATGTAAGGAAAATGAGAGTGCCCTTAGATTAATACAGGAATTCTAGGTATTAACACAAGACCCCTAACTGCTTTGTGCCTCAATTTCCTTATCTACAAAATGGATTAATAACTTCCCAGCATTAAAAGGATTGAAATGAGAGGATTCAATGAATTGTGCGGTTTGTTTTTACTGTTATTCTCCTCCTTAGCATATTTAATTTAAAAAACACAGCAGGTGAAATAGCTAAAGAGGGAGTGAGGAACAGATTCAAGAAAGTGAACTTTGAAGTTGGGCCCCACGCATCCTGGGCGTTCCTGGGGCCTTGGGCGAGGAAAAGCGTTTGGTGACCACACGGGGGCGCAGGCGCTCAGACCAGACAAGGTGTTCCCGACGGCGTCCAGCAGGGGACGCTGCAGTCGGCCGCGGCAGAGGCGGGACCGGAAGCCGGGCTGGAGATACTGGGAGCCTGAGTCGACTCCTCCCGCTTCCGCTGCCGCCGGCCTTTGCTCCGGAGTCCAGTCGCCTTCTTTTCGCAGCCTCGCTTGCTGTCGCTGCCGCCGCCGGGATGCCGCTGGAAAACCTGGAGGAGGAGGGTCTGCCCAAGAACCCCGACCTGCGCATCGCGCAGCTGCGCTTCCTGCTTAGCCTGCCGGAGCACCGCGGGGACGCGGCGGTGCGCGAGGAGCTGATGGCGGCCGTCCGTGACAACAGTGAGGCCCCGCGAGCGCCGAGTCAGCGGCCTAGGCCAGGGCCGGCCCCGCGCCCCGCCCCGCCGAGCGGTCCCCGAGACCCGGACGGGCTTCTCTGCCCTTGGGGCTTTTGCGGTGTTGGGGAAGCCTGGGGGACCCGCCGTGCTGTCACGGTGGTCCATCCTCTCCCGCGGCAGCCAAGGCTCGGCGGCTGCATGTCCCGCGCGGCCGTGCCCTGCCCGCCGGGGCCGCGCCTTCCCGGGGAGGGAGGTCGGGCTTCCGAGCAGTGAACGGTGCCTCGCCGGGCACGTGTGAGCGCAGTGCTGAGCAGGGGTGTAAGTCACCTTTTGCTGCCCGAAGGTCCTTGGCACTGAAAACAAGCCGAGGGCTGCCACCCTCCAGACCTGGTAGAGTCGGCGGGCTCCCACCGGGCCGGGGCGGGAGGACGTCCCGGGTGTACTGGAGGACACAGGCTGACACTGAGTTTGGCGTGCCAGTGGCCTCACCCCAACTCTACTCTTTGGCTTTCAGACATGGCTCCTTATTACGAAGCCTTGTGCAAATCCCTGGACTGGCAGATGGACGTGGACCTACTGAACAAAATGAAGAAGGCAAACGAGGAAGAGCTGAAACGTCTGGATGAGGAGCTGGAAGATGCGGAGAAGAATCTGGGAGAGAGTGAAATTCGAGATGCAATGATGGCAAAGGCTGAGTACCTGTGTCGGATAGGTGACAAGGTGAATGGACTAATTCTAGGTCGTTTTAAAAATTAAAGAGATGAAGGCGAGGGTATATGGTAGATGGATTACATATAGTTGTATGAAAAAGAACAAAGAAACCTCTTGCCATTGCTTTAAGTGGGGCGGGGAGGGGATTGAGAGGGAGAGACGGTGGGGGCAATTTAACTAATGTGCACCGGAAGCCTAATCGGAATTGTCAGTATGAATTCCTCCCGCCCCAATAGCGAATATATATTAAAAAATTTTCTCAAAGTGCAAGGGTAATCATAATTACCTGAAGTAGGGAGTCAGGGCAGTGAATATAAAGAAGTAATAGTCTTGTAGTACCCTATTTCCTGCTCTAGACAGCAGCCTGCTGTATATTCTTCACCTGTTGGGAGCATTGCACTTGGTTAAGAAACATTTGTTGTGCATTTTTAAATTTTGCACTAGTAATGCTTTCCTTTTAAGGAGATAATTATGTTGAAGCTCTGTTTGATCTTTCTTTATTCCCTACATCCCCAGAGATAACATCTTTAGTTTTTGTGCATTTACATGTGTTTATATGTCCTATAGAAAATGGGTAGTATTTTTTTAAAGTTTTGGTTTGGTTTTGTTTTTATACATAGGTGTTCTCAGGTTTTTGCTTTTCATCTGGCATTGTATCTGAGACCTTCATAAATCTTACTTATTCTGGTTAACTGCTGCTACTATCCCACTGTGAAACGTAGCATGGTTTGTATATCCAGCTGTTTTTCCTTTACAAACTGCTGCTGTAAAACGCTGTCATGTATGTCTCCTTGTATATATGAGCCAGTGTTTTTCTAGGCTACCAAGTAGTCAATGGAACAGTGGAACAAAATTGCTGGAATAAGCAGTTTTTATTTTACTACATCTGGTTATCTGTGCATAATACTAACAATATGGGACCTTTATTTTTATATTTTGTGGTATTGGGCCTTGAACTCACGGCCTACACTTTGAGGCATTCCACCAGCCCTTTTTTCCAGATGGGTCTCACAGACTATTTGCACCTGCTGGCTTCAAACCTTTAATCTCTTGATCAGCTAGGATTACAGGTGTGAGCCACTGGTGCCTGTCTTAATTTTTTTTTTTTGTAGTAGTTGTGGTGGTTAAGGGGATGGGCTTTGAATGTTCTTAAACTAGTATACTCATATCCTGCAGTATTCAGAAGTAGGATGTCATGGTTTCAACATAAAACATGAAGTAGGGTGAGCTCTGGGGTCAGTTTACCTGAGTTTTATTTTCAGCTTGAGTAATGGTAACTTATGTAACCTTCTGTTTCCTCATCGGTGAAACAAGGATAATGATGCTTTTTACTTAATGTTGACTAAAGGTAAAGGCACAGAGTTGGCACCTGGCACAAACTTAAGTGCTTTTGTGAAGCTTTTGTTTAGTAAGTTTTTCCCCCCTCACTACAAATTTAAGAGTTGGTCATTGTGAGAATTTGGAAAATATCAAAGTTTAAAAATAGTTTGTGTATACATTTAGATTGTGTAAGTGGCTCAGTTTGGTTTGAAAGTAATGTGTTACATGTGAATGTAAAACTTACAGGTTTTGGTTTAGGTCTTGAGTTTCAGAAAAGACATGCTTGAATCAGCATTGGGGAGGGGGTTGTAAGATGGGTATGTCCTCCACCTTTGTAGTATTTCCTTATTTTTCCCCATTCATGTGTTGTATTACTAGATACTTTATTTGTGGGTGTTTACTCATTGTGTTACTGTTGATTATAGTTTTTATTCTTTATGATGCTGAATTCATTGCAAATTTTTTAGTGGAGGGTGTTTCAAGACATTTTGTTCTTTTGGTATGGTCTCATTGGTCTTTTTGTTTTTGATGCAAGATGTCATAAATTCATTTGCTATTTTCACTGTTGAAATCTAGAGTCATCTATTTCTCCTAGGATCCCTGGTTCCTTTTATTGAGGGACAGTATTTGTACATCAAGATCTGAGTGCTGGGGTACACCTCTTGCTGTCTTTGACAGTCCCTTTTATAAATACATGAAGCAAAACTACAATTATGTAAACAGCCAGACATATTCTGAAAAGTACCAAATATAAACAAATAACTTTATTTACACTCTTGGAAAGCAATAGAATCACTGTCTTCCACAATGCCTTGAGTTGAAATTGTATATTTACACATTCAGTTGTACTCTATAAGTGACTATGATGGGATTCCCTTTATCTTTAAAATGGTTATGATAGATATTTTTTAACAGTATTTTGAAGTGATGTAATTATTAAAGGTAAAAAACACTGAATACACTGAATATGTTGAAGCAATCTGGGTAAATTAAGAGTGCTTTTCTTGTATTGTTTTCTAGAATGTAAACACATGCTAGACATTTCTTATGCTTTATACAAGTGGGAAGAATAGTACTTATTCAGCATCAATTCATGGCCTTCTTGTGTTATATCTACTACTACCCATCTCAGCTCTTTTGAAGAGAATCTTAGACAGCTGATAGCTTTTACAACTTGTAAATTTTTCTCACCTTTTGTGTTGGATTTCTTGGACAGGAAGGAGCTCTGACAGCCTTTCGCAAGACATATGACAAAACCGTGGCCCTGGGTCACCGACTGGATATTGTATTCTATCTCCTTAGGATTGGTCTCTTTTATATGGATAATGATCTCATCACACGAAATACAGAAAAGGCCAAAAGGTACCTTTTATATATTCCCTTTAAATTGTCATGCTATGAATGAGAAATTGAGAGGAGGAATTCGCATTTTCTTTTGTTTGAAACTGTTAAATTTGCTCAAATAAACATTGTACTTGCTGAATAAAATTCTTTAAATATTTTCTTTTGGTTAAAGTATTTAAAAGTTCTCTCTTTGAAAACTTTTAAAAAGTGGCATTGTCTGTTTATTATAACCTTGACATTTTTATGTAATAGCCTAATAGAAGAAGGAGGAGACTGGGACAGAAGAAACCGCCTAAAAGTATATCAAGGTCTTTATTGTGTGGCTATTCGTGACTTCAAACAGGCAGCTGAACTCTTTCTTGACACTGTTTCAACATTTACATCCTATGAACTCATGGATTACAAAACATTTGTGACTTACACTGTGTATGTCAGCATGATAGCTTTAGAAAGACCAGATCTCAGGGAGAAGGTAATGACTGAATCTCTAATACTAATGCTTAAAGGATTGTTCATGCCTTTCTAATCTTAAGTACACAAAAATTTGTTTTGATGTTTTTCATACCAGGTCATTAAAGGAGCAGAAATTCTTGAAGTGTTGCACAGTCTTCCAGCAGTTCGGCAGTATCTGTTTTCTCTCTATGAATGTCGTTACTCAGTTTTCTTCCAATCATTAGGTAAGGACAGAATTGCTAGTTTTGATTATGTGTCTTTGTCTTCTAATTCCGTGTACAAATAACCAAAGCTGGTTTTTCACATAATCTGAAAAATGCAATCTGTAGATAACTGCAAGTCTTTGATCAGCATGGCTAATCTGCTCAGTTTTATTTAGAGGAAATTCAGCAAACAGTTCCATTTTTATATGGTCCAGGAGGTGTAAGAATGACTTATTGAGCCACACTCCCAGCCCTTTTGTAGTTTTTACTTATTTTTCAGGTAGGGTCTTACGTCTTTGACTGGGACCAGCCTGAGACTGTGATCCTCCTATGGCCTCCGTGTGCCTGGATTACAGGTGTGCACTGCCATTCCTGGATTATTGGTTGAGAGATAGGGTCCTGCTAACTTTTTTCGTGGGCTGGCCTTGAACTGATCCTCCTTATCTTTGCCTCCCAAGTAGCTGGCATAACAGGTGTGAGCTACTGCAACCAGCCTTACATTTTTTAAGAGTTTAAGGAATAGATGAGTATGTGACAGCACATTGTTTTGTGATTCTTGGTTTGTCTTTTCTGCTAACTAGAATTTTGGGGAGATCTAACTTTTTTTTTTTTTTAACTTCTTAATTTTCCTGACATTAGCACAGTGCTTGTTATATTACTGAGAGCTCTATGTAAGGGCTGCATCATACAGAAGAACAGCTTTGCCAACTTTTGAATGTTTAAGGTATAATCTCTTCCCACCCTCCCCATTCTTACTAGCAACATTTTATTCTAATACTTTTGGGCCAAAGTTTTTGTTTTTACTAAATCTACATACCTCCCAGATATTTTAAATGCACAAGATAGAAAAGTTGAGTCTTCTTTTGATGGCAGGGTCATTATTATATTATTTATCTTTATGTGTATAGTGAGACACAGGGCATACTGGGTTTTGTAAGAGTCTGCTTCTCTAAAAATTCAGAGCAATATGCTTTGACTGTAACTGAAAAAGGAAGTGAAATCCTTTTCTAGGTAATGTTTGATTGTTTTTAGGAATTAGAGACAAACTAAGAAAGTGAAAGCTATGATAGACTGCATTCTACCCTGTTCCCAAATCCCTACATTTACTCTCACAAAATTCTTTCAGATTTTTGTTACATATCCTACTAGACCTTTTATGCATTTGTATGCAATTAAACAAGGTTATGTATACATAACTTTTTCCAACAGTGTCATAAAATAATAAGTAGTAAAGGCATTCACTGTCCATTCCCAGTGTCCTTTCTCTTCAGGCAGTTGCTGTTACCAAGCTCCCAGTATGTCCTTCAGGGGCATTTGTATCCGGAGATAAAAGCATGTAACAACTCTAAATATCCATATTGTGGGCGTATTTTACATGCTGTTTTCTATGTAGCTTTTCCTTCTCTGAGTAATACAAAGAATCTTGTCACTAGACAAATGGACTTATTTTTATGTAACTGACATTGCCCATATAGTTATGAGCTGAGTAAGTAGAACTCTCAGTTATCTTAAGACTTCCTAGTATTTCAGTGTGTAATGTGCCAGAGTTTATTCTCTGACAGAAAATGAGGTTGCTTCCAGTATAAGAATCCTGCACTGAACATTCATGTAGTTCTTTTACACTTACTTCCTTAGGAAAAGAATCCAAGGAATTGAATTTTGTAGAGGGTAAATACATCTTGACCACTGCTGCCCTCTAGAAATAATATGCCAGTTTATATGTACATACTTTGTTCATGTCTTTATAGTATTCAAGAGTGTCCCCACTCTCTCCTGTACTCAGTCTCAGAGAAATGATTTATTGGTTTTAAATATCTTATTGGTGACAATGGACCTCAACACATGCTTAGTGGTCATTGATCCCTATGTTCTAAAATCATGGGGTCTTTTTGTCACCTTTATCATACTTGCCTTTGATGGTCCTTCACTTCTCACAATTTTGTTCTGTTGTTTCCACAGTAAGAATTGTTTTCTCCTGACCTACCTCCTTGTTCTTTTTTTAGACTTCTCAGTGACTGACTAATTTGGACTGGATCATTGCCCTTGTGTCTGACTTCATACTGTAATTAAACACATCTGATGGCAGTGATCCCCCAATTCTAGTCTCTAACCCCAGACTTTCTACTGAGTACCAGACACGTGCCTGAATGCCTCTTTGGTATCTTCACTTGGTTGTGTAATGGGCACATCCACTTAAATAGTGCTGAAATGTGATTGAATCTGTCTCCCATTCAAAAAACAAAAGCCAGCCAACATTCTGCAGCTTCTCCAGGATCTTGACCTTGTTCACATTACAATCACAAGTGCACTGTTGATTCTTTTCTATCAGTCATCTTTATCTGTGCAACACTCTCCTTATTAATATTTTGAAATCTCGTCTTCCTATTCCTGGGCTGAGCCATGCTGATCCTGCCTTGGGACCTTTGCTGACTTGCATTACTATCCTCAGCTTAGCTGTTTCTTAGGTCTTCTCTGTTCACTCATGCCAGTGGAGGCTCTCCTCATCACTTTCATTTTCTTCACAGAGCTTGTCATTCCCCGAGATTATGTTCAACCATTTCTACCTTTTGAAACTTGAATTTCTATGGCAGCAAAGATCTTGTCTTTTGGCCTACTATCTGGAACAATGGTGTACAGTAGTTATTCAGCAAAGTAATTTGTGTTGGTTTCTCATTAATATCCTGTGTACAATTTTTTTTTTCTTACTGGTTAGAGCTTTCTAGTTAAGCCTGTTAACTTTTATGTTATAAATAAGTCTTGTTTATTGTCTCCAAACCTTAAGTCCATCTATTTCTTAAAATAGGATGTAAGTCCCTTTATTGGTTTTGTTGTATAACTTTTTGAAAATGACTGATGTATACCTCTGTTTGGTCTGCATAAATCTTTTATCTGTCACTATGCCTGCTGTTTCTGTTAGAATTGTTTGAAAAATATAGTGAAATTAATTTTGCTTGAGGTCACAAAAAAAGTTCCCCATGGTTAAAATACTAATACATTAACTTTGCCACCGGTGGACAGATTCCTTCACAAGCTGGGCTCTTCAGTGGGTGATGTTACATATCTATGTGAAAGGAAGGCTGCTAACTTGTCATCTTATTCATTGCAGCTGTTGTGGAACAGGAAATGAAAAAGGACTGGCTATTTGCTCCTCATTATCGATACTATGTAAGAGAAATGAGAATTCATGCATACAGCCAGCTGTTGGAATCATATAGGTCATTAACCCTTGGCTATATGGCAGAAGCATTTGGTGTTGGTGTGGAATTCATTGATCAGTAAGTTTAAATAACATCCTGTTAACCTATGTTTTAAATTCCCTTTTAATGTTTTTCTACATTTTCTGTTTGCGTTGCTTCCATCAATTTTAAGGGGGGGAAAAAAACTGCAAGAATTTTTTTTCAAAGTATTTTGCGAACAGTCATGGCTGTCATCTCTTCCTTCCTTACAGCCTGCTCCTTCCAGTGTCAGATGAGAAAAGCAAGCTGGTTTGTTAAAGATCATTAGAGTACTTGTTACTTTGTTGATCTCACTGTAGCTATCATGATGACTTAGATCACTGCATATTTTTTGCACATCCTCTGAAGTCTACCTTAGAAATAGCATGTCTGAGGAGGTAAAGGTGTACTCTAAGATTGAGGGTCAGCCAAGATGCAGAAACAGAAATAGCAAATGCAGGGTTTTTAGCCGGGTTGTTGCAGATCACTCCAGGAGAAGCAGTTGCCTGTGAGCACTAAGGTTGAGAGTGAGGGAGGTTAAGTTATTGGTGTAGGACCTTGTAGTTTATTTCATGCTGTGAAGTTTGAATTTTAACCTAGGTTTTGGGATGCCATTAGAGGCTTTTAGGTATGGAAGTGACATGGTTTCATGTTGCATCCTAAAGAGAGAAGGGGATAGAGATGAGTTGGGTTGTTCAGTACACAGAGGTGATGTTACGGTGGCAGTAGACATTCAGACTATGTGATCTCAGTGGTTTACTTTCAAAGTTAATGATGCAGTTTTTCTTGGTCTACAATAAAAAAAGTGATGGATAAAATGAAGTTGCATTCCATTTAAATAAGACCATTTTCTTTTTAGTAACTATTTTTTTCCCAGCATTTTATTATTAACAATTTCAAATACAGAAAAAAATTCTAAATTGTATAATGAAGTTTACCAAAATGTTAAAATGTTTCACTTAAATCTTAAGGTACACCATATGCACTAGCTCCAGCTTCCAGTAATGTATTGAAAATGCAGTTGATATTTTTCTAAGCATTCTTCATGAAGCCATACTGGTTTGTTTTCTCTATGTTAGGGAACTGTCCAGATTTATTGCTGCTGGGAGACTACACTGCAAAATAGATAAAGTGAATGAAATAGTGGAAACAAACAGGTATTCTCATTTTGTGATCATTTGTTATACAGCTCAGAACAAGAACTTTTGCTATAGAGTAATGTGAACTAGTAAATCATTTTTTCTTGATTTTATAGACCCGATAGCAAGAACTGGCAGTATCAAGAAACTATCAAGAAAGGAGATCTGCTACTGAACAGAGTTCAGAAGCTTTCCAGAGTAATTAATATGTAAAACTATTTTTAATTACTTGGAATTTTTGTAGCTTCACTATGTACCCAGTTCAGCTGTATAAAATAAATATTCCACTGTTTCTGTGCTGTTGTTTTTTTTTTTCCTTAAATGGGTTTATGTTCTGTCATTTGAACATCTGTGGTGATACAGCATAATGGTTACAATGAGACTTTAGCACCAATGACAAAATCAAAGTTGTTCATCTCCTAGTTAGTCAGATGGGTAAGTGCTGTGAAGCGGCTCTTTTCTGCAAAGTGTCTCAGAAAACCTCTGCTGGAAGGGGTGAGTTCAACTATGATGTAAGAGCTTTTGTAAGTGTCATAATGTTTGCCCAGAGGAAAGACAGCAAGTCACTAGAGGCTTCAGGTGTTTTGACTTCACGTTTTAGAAGTGTTACAAAGCAGTAGGTGACAGTGGCATGGCTTGTAAAGGTGGCAGGAGGATGGTGAATGGGAAATGGTATTTTACTGTAAAAGGCAGGAAAGGGAAGGAAGCTTTTGGTGTTTTAAGACATATTAGTGAAAACACATCATCTCATATGGCTGAAAATTGATGCAATTCAACACTTTTGCATGACAAACTTCCTCAGTTAACAGGCTGAGAAATCAAGCGCCCACTGTAGGGGAGATGATACTTAATAGCAAAATATTAGAAGTATTACCTTCAAAGTCCAGCTGTGACTACTATCAGTGTTGTCAGATGAGGAGCCACTGGTATGTGGGGTAAAGAGTGCAGCGTGGCTAAAGCTGTGCTTGAGTTTCTTGGAGGTACTGTGTGGAGGCTTTTAGTTGGACATCTGTAGTAAAGCATTTGAGAACAGCCACTTAAGAATTTCTAAAAATGCTTATGAACAAAAAGTGCCCTATGATTCTGAAAATCACTGAGAACTTGCTGAGTTCCTTGTGTCCATTTAGACTGAGCAGAACACTATTTTTAGCAAATTGACTTTGTAGCTCAGGGTACAAGAAAAGATTGAAATAATGCTTTCTTTTAGCTCTCACCTGTAAAACTACTTGGCCAGCAACTATGGCTTTTTTTGATCAAGGCTGAGGCTTACTGTGGCCTTAAAAGGAAAGTCCCCAACACTTTCTTCTTCCTTGCTTGTAGCATTTAGCCATCTGCCTAAAATTAGTAGGTGAGAATGACAGGTAAGAAATGCTGAAAGAAACAACTGCTGTTGATTCTAGAAAACTCCAGAACTGGTGATGAAGATCTAGTAGAAAAACTTTTTACCTTATTGGTGACACAATACAACTTTGAAGATAGGGAATCAAGTTTTGTTTGTTTTATGAAAAATAACACATGCTCATTGCAAAAGAAATGCAAGCATTTAACAAGTAGAATCACTTTGAAATTATCCCCTACAGAAAGTATTAAGGACCTTTTCTCTGCAGATACTGAGTGATGAATATTCTGTATATTTACTCCTATGAGTAAAAATACTTTTAATACAAAATTGGATCCCTTGTTATGTATCATTCAAGACTTTTTCTATGTTAATTACAAATCCCAGTGGCATACTGTTAAGCCTCAAAAGTATCAGCTCGAAGGTGAAAATAAATTTGGAATCCAAGAAATCCCTTTTACACGATGGCACGTGATTCAGGAGAAACAGTGCCACTGGATGCTGCAGCTGGAAAAGTCCAGTTCTAGTCCCAGCTCCCCACACTGGCCATCATAACCAACCCCAAGAGTTATTTCATCTCACATTGAGTCCATTTCCTCATCTGTAAAATGGGCTACAATGAGGTTATTTAGGTGAAGAACACCACAAACTGTAAAGCAGTATATAAAAACATGCGCTTTTTCTAAACATTGATCTACCATTTGATGCAGCAATACCACTCTTGGGGATATACCCAAAAGACTGTGACACAGGTTACTCCAGAGGCACCTGCACACCCATGTTTGTTGCGGCACTATTCACAATAGCCAAGTTATGGAAACAGCCAAGATGCCCCACTACTGACGAATGGATCAAGAAAATGTGGTATCTATACACAATGGAATTTTAGGCAGCCATGAAGAAGAACGAAATGTTATCATTCGCCGGTAAATGGATGGAAGTGGAGAACATCATTCTGAGTGAGGTTAGCCTGGCCCAAAAGACCAAAAATCGTATGTTCTCCCTCATATGTGGACATTAGATCAAGGGCAAACACAACAAGGGGACTGGACTATGAGCACATGATAAAAGCGAGAGCACACAAGGGAGGTGTGAGGATAGGTAAGACACCTAAAAAATTAGCTAGCATTTGTTGCCCTTAACGCAGAGAAACTAAAGCAGATACCTTAAAAGCAACTGAGGCCAATAGGAAAAGGGGACCAGGAACTAGAGAAAATGTTAGATCAAAAAGCGTTAACATAGAAGGTAACACACACGCACAGGAAATCAATGTGAGTCAATGCCCTGTATAGCTATCCTTATCTCAACCAGCAAAAACCCTTGTTCCTTCCTATTATTGCTTCTACTCTCTCTACAACAAAATTAGAGATAAGGGCAAAATAGTTTCTGCTGGGTATTGAGGGGGTGGGGGGGAGAGGGAGGGGGTGGAGTGGGTGGTAAGGGAGGGGGTGGGGGCAGGGGGGAGAAATGAACCAAGCCCTGTATGCACATATAAACAATAAAAGGAAAAAAAAATGCGCTTTTGACTATATTAATAAAAATGTTAGCTGAAACCCAATATTAGATGAATGAATTGGTTAGTTACATCAGTGTTACGTGATAGACTTAATGTTAGACTTTTAAATTTGATCTTGGTGATATCGATGTTTCAATAAACCATAAGACTACGTAGAATGCTAAGTCAATTTGATTTTCCGTCTGATAATCCTTTCAAGGAAATTTTAGGTTCACAACCCTATTTTCCACAGAAGATTAAAGCTTGGTGAGATTTTGATAGGAAATGCATTACACTGTATATGGAGAAGGAAAGTCTTGTATTTACCCACAGTTTCACATTGTTTTCTTCTGTCCTAATATTCAAAATTCCTTCTCTCATAGTTTCTTTTATGTTTACAGAATGCCCTGTAACCCTTCTTTTAAGGTAAGAAAACAGAATTGTTTTTCTAAAATTAAATTCTTAGTTTTCCTTTATCTGAGAATGTCTGATTCCCCCCTCCGCCTTTTTAAAAAAAAAAAAAAAAAGGAAAAAACAGAGAGGGGACTGTGATAATCCCTTGCCTTCTGAATGCTACACAAACCTGTAGTTGTTACTAATCCTATACCTCTACAATGGTCAGGGACAGTGATCTCACATCCGTCTAGAAAAAAACAAAAAGTTTTAATAGCCACTAGTTTTAATTCCCAACCCATAGAACCAACAATTACCATTGTTCTTGTGTTTCTGAAGATAAGCAAAATGATATATCAAGTACTTTCAGCAGTGTCCTCCAAACCCTTTGTGGTCTTGAAGTATACTGTGAAGAGAGAAAGCTGTTGTCATTCAGAAATAATGGTATAACGGTCTCTGTACAGACTAGGTTTAAGAAGTAAAGCAAACTTTTACTTGCCAAAGAATTCATTCATTTGCCAAAAGAATGATTAGCTTTCCTTTCAGCTATTATGTCACCTTTCCATCATGAAAGGTCAACGGGAAAGTTGCCACTAGGGGGTGTTTCAACAACTATACCAACCCTGCCTTTCAGAAGTTACCAGAGACCTGCTTTTCCAAAGTTTGATTAGTATAATATCACGCTGATAAACTCTACATTTGACTTTTGAGGCCTTACTCAGCTTTTCTTGGACCCCTCTGGGTTAGAAGCTGTTCATTCACATACACCTCAGAAACCTGGAACCAAGATGACATCCACTAATTCCTAGTCCCTTTCCAGGCCATTGGTTCTGCTCATTCAGAATGCCTTCCTGTGAACCTACTTACCACTAAGTACCCTGTACTCGCTGTCTGTCCTCAGTCACAGACTTCCAACTTCCCACCTCTACCTCCTCTAGGTTATTCCAGATCTGAACAGCTGGCTTAGTTATCCTGCTAAGAACTTTGAAACAGACAAGTTCTACACTAAATACCCTAACTTCACAGATCCCAAGTCTTAACTCCAGTGCTCTTTTTCTACATGCTACTTCCATCCACTGTCATACTTTCACTTAGGAGTCACCACCATCTCCGAATAGATCTACTTTTGAAAATGAAACCTTTCCACTTAGACCCTGGTATCCTATTCCATACTTTGGCCTATTCCTCAAAGTACTGTGACCACCTTAAAAACTGGTTCCTTCACCTGCCATGGGAGTTAGCCCCTCTTTGCAATCAAACAAGTGTCTTGACAGTGCCTGCCTAGATTCTTTGGTAGCTTCTAGTTCTCTTCTTTCAATACTCAACATCTATACCCTCATTAGTCACTTAGCCACATCTTTGCCTATACTCTTAATTCTTTGGCAACCTCCAAACTTTTCTACCCAACAAATACCTATTATTCTCATTATCTTGAGAAAATAACAGAAAAAAAAATTACATAAGGTTGTGGGTAATTATAATGGTTAAATCTCTAAACTTCTTACTCTAAACCCTTTCCGAGTCACCTCTTGCTTTCCCTTACTTCTCTGATGCTTCACTCTGAATTGCTGCTTCTGCATCTGTCTTCACCACAGTACTCTTGGCTAGAGTTTTGTCCTAGGCTGTGTTCTCTCTCTGGGCCTTCAAAGGTGGGCTTGAGGGTTTGTGAAATCCTGGAAATAGAGTATTAAGTGTGGTGTGCCTGTGATTCTTGGAGTCCGTGACCAAAAATAAAAACATTAAGAACAGTCTGGTATTCACAGCCTCATTCTGCTACCTACTAGATGAGGGACCTGAGGCAAGATACCACCTTAAAAGTTCATCATTATAGTTGGGGTCAAAATACCTGCCTTCCAAAAGCTTTGTGAGAGACAGAAAGTATGTAAAATGCTTGCTATAATATCTGGCTCACTAATAAGACTTACAAGTAAGAATTATTTTGGCATAATAATAAGCCAAATACAAGAATTACCTATTTTTCCCAGGTAAATTTACTGCCATGACCTCATTTCCCACCTAAAAGTGAAAAACAACTTCCTCTCTATTCATAGCTCAAACTTCTTAACTATGCTTCATCTAGAGTCTACAACCAACTGGGCACAAACTTTCTTTTTCCCCTGGCAATTTAAATCCATTGTTACATTTTTTTTTTTTCTTTTCTGTTACCATGTCACATTTCATTTCATACTCATCAATTGCTTTGGCCATGCTGGATATATAAACCATCTTAGACTCATTCACTCTTTAACAGTCAACATAATTACACCTTCAAGGCTGTTGGTTTTACCTTTAAAAGATTTCTAAGGGCTGGGGATACAGCTCAGTGGTAAAGTGCTTGCCTAGCACGAATGGGGCCCTGGGTTTGATCCGCAGCACCACAAAATTATACATAAAATATCAGTTCTTGTAATTCCTATTATCACAGCCTTAGTTTAGAAACTCAGTAGGTCTTACCTGAATTATTACAATAGCTTTGCAAATTATTTTTGTTCCAAGGTTTTCACCTGTCCATTGTGTCTTCCCATAGTTAGTGGAGGACCCTAAGTTATGGAGATTTTTAGGAAAAGTATTAAATTATAACCAAATACTTTAGCAACAGGATTAAGAGCTTCTTAGAAGAAAGACTTAAAGAGGAGAAAGGTGTATAAGAACAGAGAACACTTAGGGGAAAGCGCTTTTCATAGGAGGGTAAAGGCTTACGTTGGAGGCAAGAAGTATCTCCTAGGAGATACTCTTATACTGCCAGCTTTGTTCCGTGCCCTTTAGTTGTAGAAAACAGGTAACTGGCCAACTGGTTGCTTTACAAGGTAAAAGACCAATCTAATTAGTTGCTTTTAGTGAAAATGCAAGAAACAAGGAAATAGATTTTAGTGCACCTTTGATTCCCACAGTGTCCAGTAAAGATATCAATGGCTCTTCCTTTTGGTAGCTGTACAGTGTTGGGACTGGACTTTGCGACATCTCTGGGCTCTGACAATTACATGTCAGAGTTAATATGAGGTTGATCCCATATGTTGTAAAGACAAAGGCTTCATGACAATAAAGGTCCTTAACAATCTTACACTTAACTCCTTCAACCCCCACCAAGTTTCATGCAGAATTATTTTCTCACATTTCTTCCCACCTTTGTCCCACTTGCTCCTCTGCCCAAAATGACCTTACCCTGTCTTTCTTCCAGTGAAATTCCATATGCCAAGGTCCAAACTGCCAAATCCTCTTGCTTGAATTGAGATGGTCTCTCTTGCTATCCAGGGCGAGGTTACCTGCAAGGGAATGGAAGTAAAAAGGGTAAAAGATTGAGTGGGTGATCCATTTCCTGGAAGGTCCGAGGACACTCACAGTAGAAGGATTTATCCACAGGAGCTTCTTATAATTGCATCCAGTCACTGGTTGATCTAAGAAGGGAATGGGAGGTCCATTAGACAGTGGGGACTGATGCCAGTCTGGCTCCTTGATGTAAGATTTGAACATTTTTCCCCCAATACACAAAGCAGTTGCTCCCCTTATCTTAAGCAACAAAAAAATTCAACGTACTGGAATGATTTATCTATAAATGGTAAAACTGACCAGATTTCTATGCATAAAATGTTACATTCAGAATAATAATTAAATGCTTTTGTATGGCCAGTAAGGGAGGTATTTAAAAATAAGGAAGAGATTAGACTAGCTCTGGCTAAAAACAAAAAAAAACTCCAGTCAAAACTGACTGCTTGTCATCAAATTTACAGATAAGCAAGTTCAAACAGAATGGAGTTTTCAAATATCAATTCTCTCCTTCCCCCCATTTCCTTCACAAACCTGCAGGGCCAAAATACAGTAGTATCCAGTGTGTACTCAGTTAACTGACTTACCCAAGGCAAAATTCTGTGCCAGGAATGGAAACATCCTAATGCCTCAGAAGTATTTATTTGGCTTATACTGGAGGGAGGCTAAAGTGCAGGTGCTTCCCAAGGATGTCTGATGTAAAGAGGCAAACTAGACTGAGAGGGCTTAGTATCAAGAGGCAGAAACATGTGAAATATTTCATGCAGCCAACCTTATTTATTGAGAAGTCCTAATTTTATTGCCTGTTTAGTAACATGTTTGTTCCATAAACTAGTATCTCATAAAGCAAAGCACAACTTTTTCTTATAAATAGTATAAATTATTTTATTTACAGAAACTTGTTACAAAACAAATAGACTATATATTTCTTCTCTTTTAAATATCCAAAGTAATTTTCTATCCCTTGACATTTGTTCATGTTCTATACAGCAGCCAACACAAAGTCCAGCTGAGATGCTCTTGATTATGTGTACACATTATCAAACTATTCACACATTTTAACACAGGAGATTGCTTTTATAACCAAGCTCAAACAAAACAAAACAAAACAAAACAAAACAAAAAAACAAAAACCCAAAAAACGAAGCAAAATGCTTTCAAGGCCCTACATTCACACCGACAGTATGTAGTGCTCATTTAAATGATCTGAAAACGTAAAATGTTTTGCACAAGATGTAAAAATGATTATTTTCCTCTAAACAATGAAACGTTTAACAATCACTTTTTCAAAGCCCAACTTTCCCCCCACCCAGGACAGAATGAGAGACATTAAGAAATTCCTTGGCAACAGAACTCTTGCAGGAAGACAGCTGCCTTTTAAGTTATGGTTTTCAAATTATACATTTTTTTCAATGTCCTCAGAGGTATACTTCTTTGTATTATATTTTGGAATACAAAATATTTTAAATATTCTATTTTAAACTCTGTATTTCATGAGTTACTAACAAAGCAGACACATCATGTAAGTTGCTGGCTGACAAAAGATTTTTAACCCTTGGTGCCACTGGTCAATCCATTGCCAGTCAAATTACTGTGAACCTAAAGGTCTTAAATTTAAAATATCTTATAAAATTTACCAGCACTGGTGGTTTTCAACTCCTCCCCTAAAATTTTAGAAACAATAGTTAAGCAGAAAAAGCAAACTCCAGAAATTCAACTGAACATTCAAGTCTTTTTAAAGAGAATCTGTCTAAGCTTAAAACTAAGTTCAGGCACTTTCAGTTTTTCAATTAGTTTTAACCCACATAACATACTAATAATACACGTGTGCTCAGAGTGTATACACACACACACTTGCGCTCACACACACTCGCACATAAAATACTAACAAATGAAAAGCAGTGTGTCACTTAGTTACATGTAGTCTATCAGGAAATCAGGCAACTAAGGAGAAGCAATGCCCACTTCATCTGTATGAATCCACTCCCGAGACATTAAAAGGGACAAAGACTTTCACAGAACAGAGGCATCCCTTAAACTGTAAAGGAGGCAGGTTCTAGAACTATTGGCTTGGCAGTGAACCACTTCAAATTATAAAAAGGTATTTACTTTTATTAATTAATAAATAAATACTAGATGATCTCAATTGTACCAAAACAGGATATCAGAAAAAAAGACCTGTGCAAAAATACATATTTAAATATGTACAATTCATTTTTAACAAAATATGTCTTCTGAAATAGGGATACTTCCATATTTATAATAGAACAAGAAATCCCAAAATAAAGATACAAAAGTAGGTTTTGTATAATTCTTTGTTCATCATTGCAGCACTTTTTTTGAAGGTTAAGAAAACTGCAGAAGTTGTCATGAAATTCTGTTGGAAAGAATATAAAAATTATCTTGGTTTTAAATTGATACCAAAGTCTGTCTAGAAACAACCCAACCACTGCAAATTTGGTTTTTGTAAGTTAATTTAATTCAAAAAAATACATGTCCTCCCATGTTTTAAATGGTCTTAATTGTTCATCATAATAAAAGGTCATTGTTGGAGAAAATAAAATATTTGAACAGTCTAAAATTTAATAGCACTGTTTAGAATAGGTCTGTTTGTGGCAGGCAGAATTCAAAATGGCTAATTTCCTAATCCCAATGCTCTGTGTATTACCAGGAGACATAATGAAATTCAATTAAAACCTCAGTCTAAGAAATCAAATGATCAACATTCACTAATCTAAGTATCTACATTGTTCTGAATCAACTTGCTACTGTGTGGATTCTATTCACATCTTTCGGAACAACATGATCTGTCTATAAATTCCATCACTAAAATCAACTTAATTTATAACCATCAAGTCCCCTTGGCTTTGAAAATAAATTCAACCCATACCCCATTGCACTTGTCACCAAGGAATCCACTAAGTACGTCCCGATTCCCTCTCATCTCTCTTCCCCACTGGGATGAACCACCAGACTGATTTCTCCTAACAATACCAAACTGGCCCATCCACATTCTCTTCTTGCTAGCTCTCCTATAGTATCATTTTAAAAACATTTACTGATTGATTGCATAATAAGTGAACAAGATACTGTTCTCCCCTCCTTTAAAAAAAAAATCAGTATTTTACATCAATTTATAGCTAAAGTATCTGCATAAAGTCTTTGTTTTCTTACACAATAAGAATAATTCTGTAGTAATTCACATTATTAGGCTGGTAACCAAGTATTTATTCATTCTACCTGTTGTTGACTTGAAATTCCCTGAAACTTAAGTTTGTAACCCAAGAATTGTGGGGAAACAAGGATACTCTGACTGGCTCTGTCCAGGCCCTGCCCAGCACAATGATCAGAGCCATGGAAATTTTACCCTGTGTTCGGCTACTCTGTGTGTTCTCCTAAGCCAGAGGTCTGGTTCTTGGTTCAGGAGTTGTGATGGTGGGATGGCCCATTAAAAGGACCCAAGTCACCAAATTTAATGACACCTTCTTAAGCAATGCTGTTTTAACATTTTAAACTTTCATTTGGGATTGAATACTACAAAAATATCTTGGAGGGTTCCAAACCTCTCTGATCCCAAGACAGGAGGGTGTGTGTCAGGAAACACTATGCAGGCCTCACACAAAGCCTCCACATGGGCATATGAATATACTTCCCAACTTCCCCAACCTTGGGGTCTGCTCTCTGCATCCAGATAAACACCTGCTGGGGCCTGAAGGTATGTGGGGACACACAACAATGCCCACAGCAGTGGAAGCAGAAATTTATACTTCATCTCAGGGATGATATCCAGAGAGGAAAATGGGGGGGGGAGGGGTAATGCCTTGGAAATATTTAAGTAAATCCTAATAATTTCAGTTTAAAAAGGCAAATCTTAAAAAACAGAGCATGACAATCAATTCAATCTGACATACTGTTTAACAGGAAAATTCCATCTCTTTGGAAATCCTGGAAAAAGTTTTCACCCCCACAGGGATTTTACCTTCCCCCACCATCTGCCTTGATTTGGCTGTCCATTATCAAAACTAGTTTCCATTTTATGTTTTTCCTATCACATAGAATTGGTTTTGTACCATAAAAAGTTAAGCCTCCATAATGACTGATACTTGCTGCCTAGGTAGGCATCAATGGCTTCAAACCAGTTTGTAAGTTCAAAGCTTCTGACAGCTTCATATCCCAAATTACATGCAAAAGGCTGGGCTAATGTGTCATGATGCCTTGAGCCAATATCACGTTCTATTTCTGAAACACTGCTATAAAAATCTAACGCCAAATTCCCTTCTCCAGAAAGCTGCTCAGAGTACAGCTCTCTTTCCTCTGGAAGGTTTCCAATCTCCAGCTAAGGTGCCTATCTGCTGGAGAGTGATCTACAGAAGACAGCGTGTAAGAAAAAAGAAACTGGTAGGGAGAGGGAGAAAAGAGAAAAGTCTACAATAACGCTCTTGCCAAAACATTCTTTTGCCCAGCCAATCTCTTCAAAGAGTGGCTCCGTGATATACTGCAAGTTAAAAAAACAAACAAAAACTTGTCACAGATTGGTAGCAAGCAGTCCAGACCACTTTAGCACTGATAAAAGCAATCCGGTGCTGAACTCGATCCAGTGTCCTTTAAAGTACTCACTGCTACAGACACAGCTTCAGGGAAATCCTCGTGGAAACAACGGCCTGGCAGTTACCCTGGAGGCCCACAGGAGGTTGGGAAAAGAGACTCAAAGGCATCGTGGAGTCCAGAGTGCTGAGTGGAGGTGTAACTTGTCCTCAAAAGTGTCCAAATTATTCCTCCCCGTGCTATTTTCAGCTGTCAGGGACGCGCCTTTGGCTTTCAAAAGAGAGGGGGGTGGGGAAACAATGAAGAGGTAAGTAAGCAGCTGTACACTGTATTCTCATGATTCTGAAAAGAATATTCCAAAGGCCACACACATTAGAGGTCACTGATGGGATAAGGCTAGGAACAGTCAGCTGGAGAATTTGGCCTTAGTTTTCAAAGCTTTCACTGCCCTTGGGCACAATCACTCTCAAGATTTACTTCCACAAAACTGGCAAGCAGAGATTCAGGCCTGGGTTTCTAGCTTAAAGAACTAGAAATGTTGCATTTTCTGTTTTTTGTTTTTCAATTTTTTTCTTTTGTCTCCTTGAAGGTTGTTAACTGAGAACAGAACAAGGTTAGATTGGGCTAGCACATATAGGTACACTAGCTCATACTCAAAGCAGGGCCTCATGGCAGCAAGAGAGAATTCTGGCTTCACCCTGGGCTACATTTAGTAAGTCCTTAGGCCGTCAGCAAATTCTTGGGTGGGGGGTGCCTGCCCAACCCCATCTTAGGGCTTCTCAGAACATCCTACTTCATTTCCTTGTTTGAAGGCTTCACCCAGCTCAGTTAGCACTGTTTTGAGGCCCACTCTACAAGGATCAGCAAGTTGAGGTCTCTACTTTTCAAGAAGCAGCATCAGTACTTTGAGATACTCATAAAAGCTACAGGATCCCTCCCATTGATAAGTGGACATCACTTCTTGGGGTTCACTTGTCCTCTGATCGCTAGCCACAGGGTCCCTAAGAGAGGTGCAGTACCATAAAAAGTATTCTCAACAGAAGAAATCACTCTCAAATAAATTTAAGTGGAAACTAATTCTAAGGAAGAAACTCAAAAGTTAAACTGCTTGGGCCTTTCTAATGGACATAGTTGTCCCCTCCACCCCCAGATGGTAAAAGTCAGAGGTAGCAAACTGCCAGGTCATAAGATCAGATTTTTTTTTTAAGTGGCCAAATTTCCCATGTACTTGCATATGAATTTCACATTGCACTTGCCCTCTGCATTTTCTCTTTAAAACTAGTTACAAGTATCTGGGGGCAGCTGCTCTGTGTAGGTGGTACCTCCCCCGCCATAATTTTCCACAGGCACTGTTACTCTCTGCTGCTTCCCTCCCCCAAGCTGTCCTTTTTTGTTACTTGTAGGCAATAAAGTCTACACTAAATGAAGATCATATTCAGTACTCCAAATGTGAGGTGGTCATTACAGCCCCCTACTGCAAGGTCACAATTCAATGGGACACCACACTTAGAAGAAATTTTTAAGGGACAGATATACCATTTTTTGCTGGGTTTGTACTGCGTTGTTAGGCTTCTCATAAGTGTCCAACAATTCCCCGCCCCCCGCCCCCCCCAATAAGCCAACCAACATTATCAAGAGCCATAATTTAAGCCCCTACTTAAAAGTCGATGTTTCCCTCATACATTATGAATTTACACAAATATCAGAGGGAAATTATATCACAGAAAGAAAGTCCTTGGTATTTTTTGAAAAAGTCCTAGTTTAGCATGTCAGTTAAGTTCTGAAGATGAGGAAGGAGGAAAAAAAACATAAAAAAGAGCCTCACATTTTAAGTCAGGGCTCTGGGGTGCTGCTGTTGAAATTCCTGTTCGTAAGCAAGGTGAGGAGATATCCTGATGAATGAAAATAACAAGATGAGAGATGAGCTGGAAGTAAGAGCAAAGGAAGCTGGAAGAAACAACTATAGAAGAGACAGGAGAAACCAGCAACAAGTGAAGATTGGGGGAAAGACAAAGATACAGCATAAGAGAGAAAGTCATGGTTAATTATGAATCCAACACTCACTTAGCTACCTCCTACCAGTGAACTCCCAATCTCATTTATTTATTTATTTATTGCTAGTACTGGGGTTTAGACTCAGGGCTTCATTCTTGTGAGGCAGGAACTCTATTGTTTGAGCCATGCCTCGGTTCTGGTCATTTTGGACATAGGGCCTTGCTTTTGGTCCAGGCCTACCTGGACTAGAGCTAGAGCTGGGATAATAGGTGTGTTCCACCAACCCTATCTTTTCCATTGAGATGGAGTCTGACAAACATTTTTTGCCTAGGCTGCCTGAAACGACATTCTTTCTAATCTCAGCCTCCAGTGTAGTCTGGGATGACAAACACACACCACCATACCCACCTACTGGTTGAGATGGAGTCTTGTGATCATCCTGCCCAAGCTGGCCTTGAACACCATCCACCCAAGCTCAGCCTCTCCAGTAGCTAGTATTACTGGCATGAGCCACTACCACCTAGCTTGATTTCTTTTTAAACTTTTAACTCGCATGAGATTTTAGTCTTTAGCTATGTCCATACTGAATCCTGTTTTCCTGCCTCCCTCGAACATGCAGAAAAAAATGGGGTGAGATTTAACCAGAGTATCTGATACTGCTCAGGAAAAATATTATAAGCTCTTTGTACTTAGTCTTCTTAAATCATCCCTTTTCAGATCAGTCTCTTCAAATCAGTCTCATTTTAGCACAGTTTTCTTCAGAAGAACATACTGGAGAACAACCCTCATGCAGGAAATGCTACCTGCTTCCTTCCCTAACAACATCGGGACACCAGTTGACTGGCTTTGGAGAGGGACTACCTTCCATGCTGACTTTGCTGTAACACCTGATGCCTTCCTCAGTCCTATTTGCAAGATGCATGATTGTGGTTTCCTATGCAGAGGCATTTTCAAAAGGCATCAGGAATTCTGCAGAGAAGAACCTGTTTTACCTTAATACAGCCATGGACTCTTTCCTTTTTAAAAAAGGTACCAGGAAGCTGGGTATCTGTTTACAGGCAAACCAACTTTATACTCTAACCACAGAGATTTTCTGAGCTAGCAAAAGATCCCACAGGAGAGGTAATGGGCATTTCCCAGGGGCTCAGAGTCTACTTCCTACCTGATGAAGGAGGGAATTGTTCGTCAGTCCTTGTGCCCCTGGGATGGTGCCTGTGTGTTTCATGTGGACGTTGTTCATGGCTGGCAATTTGGCAACCTTTGTGGGTTTGCTGCTGCTGTTGTTGACACTGCTGGAGCCAGACGAGCACTTTCTTTTCTTTCCTATGAGTTTGTCTAGAGGAGTGTGTGAGTGTGGAAAACTGCCGTGGGAGTTGATAGGCAGTTCATTGGACTGGTGAATGAATGGGCCAAGAGAAAGCGTGGAGTCACTGCTGTTCACCATCACACTCATCCTCTTGATGGATTCAGCAGGGCTCCCGCCAGGGGGGCCCCTCCCTGACAGCTCATGCTGGAGGCTCACTGAGTGTGCTTTGTTCGTCACACAATTGAGGCCGATGTTGTGGGAAGATGTTGCTGTTGATGGATAGGGAGGCCCGGAGTGAGCCACACAGTTTTTCCTAAAAGATTCCATGGAATGAGAAGAAGAGGAGGAAGAGGAAGAGTGAACTAACAGTGGGGAGTTGTTTTTGCGTTTCTTTCCTGAGCCGCCACTGGTACTGCTACTGCTGTTGTGACAATTAGTGCTGTTACCAGAAGACTCCTTGGGCCTTAAAGATTTGCTGGATTTTAACTTCTGAGGTTTCCTGGCCATAGGGGAGGAGGGGACCGAGGAGAGGCCAGAGGGCGTGGAGGGGGATGAGGATGAAGAAGACACTTGTCTGGATTGCATACTGCACACAGGATCCATCGCCCCAGAAGTGGCAGGCTGTGCATTTAGTGTGGTTCCATGAGCTGGTACTGATTTGCTATTTGGGGAGATGCAGGTGGACGAGAGCAGAACTGGGGATGTAGAGGTGGTAGCTGCTGCAAGATAGCTAATCCCACATTGTGATGTCGGAACAGAGTTTGTCCTATGAGGAACACGTGCAGAGACAGGTGATGTGGTACTGGGCACTGAGGGGATTTTCCTGGGGGAGGGAAAAAAGAGGACAGTGAGTGACATTCACCATAGCCATTCATGGAGACTTGAGAGGGACACTGCCTTTACCTCTGGTCCTGAGAAACACACCCCTTTTAGAGTGATCACTCTGAAACACAAGGACAATCCTGTTGCTTCCCTCCTCCAGGTTCTTCTTTAAGGCCTAGGGCTCCTGGAACAATGGAGTGTATGTGCCTTGCCCCTGCTGTCCCAGCTTTACACCTCCACCTCTTATCCCCAGCCATGGATCTTCCTTGTATTCCATGAAATGCCTTTAACACAAGACCCTGTATTTCCTCTGCCTGGACCAATCTTAGCTCCAGCTTCTGCTCATCCTTTTACCTTCAGCAACACTTCCATAGGAATTCTGTTCTGAACATCCTGGCTTGCTTACTCCCTTCTCCATGGGAGAATGCAGTTCTCCATTCCTACAAGTTGTAAGACTTTAAGGTCATTTAATGTGTGACTGCAGCTCACTAACTCCTTTGCACACCTTGTACCTCAGTTTATCTACCATTACTCCCTTAGGACCTAGAATACAGAAGACACTCAATAAACATGGAGGAAAACCAGTCTCAGTGTACTATTTTGTAATGTCTGAGCAAGGTATTGACTGGGAGGGGAGAGGAGTTGAGGGATCCATTCAGATAGTCAAACTGGAGAGGGTCCCCTTTCTATTTTAGCTCTCATTTGACGGCACCAAATTTTCAATAAACCCTATGACAGAATTAAAACTGAGGTTACAGCCAGGCATGGTGGCTCAGGATTAAATTCCCAGATATTTTGGAGGCTGGGGCAGGAATATCTCAATATCAAGGCCCGTCTGGGCTACAAAGTGAGATTCCATTTCTTTTCATTTTCTTTCTTTTGTGTGTGTGTGTGTGTGTTACTGGGGTTTGAACTCAGGGCCTCATGCTTCCTAGGTAGGCTTTCTATCATTTGAGCCATTTTTCACCAGCCCTGTTTTGTGGTGGATATTTCCAGATTGGGTCTCTCAAATTATTTCCCAAGGCTGGCTTCAAACTGCAATCCTCCTGTTCTCTGCCTCCTGAGTAGCTAGGATTACAGGCATGAGCCACCAGTATCACTGCTTTAAAAAAAAAAAAAAAAAAGAAAAAAGCACCTGGGCATGGTGGCACGGGTCTGTAATTCTAGCACTCAAAGAGGCTGAGGCAGGAGGATGGCAATTTCAAGGCCAGCCTGGGCTACACAGTGAGTTTGGAACCAGCCTATTCCAACCTGGGTTACACAGAGTTCCAGGCAGCCTGGGGAACATAAAGGAGATCCTGCCTCACAAAAAGGGGGAAAAAAATAAAAAGCTGTGGTGACAGAATAGAAAGGCCTGGGACTTGACTGGAAGGCAAGATTGCTGGGTGGCCCTGGTTCTGCTAGGACTCAGTCTCTTCACTAGAGGACAGTTGATTTGATGTGCTGCCAGTACTTTCCAGACACCTTTTAAGAAAAACAATAATGACTAGCACACGGAATTAATGATTGCAAGCACTTGCACCTGTTTTTAAAAGACTACTGCAAATACAGCTCCACTTCGCTCCTCTGTTGCACACTGTGCACCTATGGAGGCTAAACACCACAGTAATTTACTCTGGAGTCTTGGGAAGGGTGAACAGACATTAGTAATTTCTAAATGTCTGTATGAGATCCCAACATGGAGCCGATACTAATAAGTTTGGCTCCTTTCCTGTGCAACTTCAGAGCAGGACAAACACTGACATTACTTGAAAGGTTTATTAGACATGTGAGGGCCCAGCCCAGGCGACCTAAACAGATTCTTTCAGTAAAGCCACCACCAGATGATTGCTGTCTGCTCAGCAGTTACTCAGTTGGTACAGTAGCTTCTTGTGGCCACCAGGTGGCTCATGAAACTGGAGCCTAACGACCAGGCTAGGCTGTCTGGAACCGAACCCCTGTGAAAGGAAAAGGCTTCCACAGGGAAGGCAGCATATGGATCTAAGAACAACAATTGCGGTTCCTCTTTAAAAAGCTATTAAAGTAATTCATTACCTTTTCTATAAGAGGAGCAAAGTAAGAATATGTAGTCATATTGACTTGTATTTGCACAAACTCTATAAAAGGTACACAAGAAACAAAAATGGTGCTGTCTGTTGCATGGAAATAGGAAGGTGGGGAAATGGGAAATGAGACTTTTCATTATATGCTTCTTTATATTAGAACCTCCCCCCTGCCTTTTTTTTTTTTTTTGGTGCTACAGGAGTTTGAACGCAGGGCCTTGTGCTTGCTAAGAAGGCTCCTGCTCTATCACTTGAGCCACATTCCCCATCCTCTCAATTTTCTTTTTGAAGCCAAGTGAATGTATTAACAATTAAAAACCAAACAAAACCAACTTGACAAAAGCCCAGAAGTCCTCAGGGATGCAGAATAGTAGATCAACATAGGGCAAGCAAGTGGCAGAAGTCACAGGAACCTGGGATGGCTTTTGGGCCATGGCCATGCTCCAGAGGGAAGGACTGTTCTAATTCCACTGCTCAGAGGACCCACAACCTGAAGAGGATTTATTTCAGACTCAAACCCCACCTTCACTGATCCCCACATTTACCACCATAAGGGAAGGGCCAGGAAAGGTTCTGTTCCAAGAGGGCTATTCTTGCAAGGTCAGGGTCTGGCAATGGGACCTGGACTGCTGTGAAAGTTTCCTGCAGGGCTTCAAAGAAGGCCCCTGAGAACAGTTCATTCCTGGGTGATAACTGCTGAGCTCCCCCAGTAAATCTCAAGGGCTGCTTGGAAAGCCTGCCAGCACCCTTGTGTAGGGAGCACAGCATCTGAGGCTGGGCCCTGATCCCACATCCCGTCTGCCTGCAGTTTGGGTGCCAGCTCCTAGATGAGTCACATGCCCATCACTGACACACTGACTTTTATAAACAGAGGTCATGCTAACAGAAAAGAACTGCTCTCTTCTCCCTAGAGCAAGTGATAAGGCAGTCCCTCTGACAAATATGGTCAGAGAAAATAATGAAATCAGTCTCACAATCCTGTCATAGCACAAAGAGGAAAACCTCTCCATACAAGCCACTAGGAACTGAAACCATCTTCACCACACTGCTAGCCATGGGTCACTCACCAATACGATAGTAAATACATTAGAAAGGCCCTTCTAAATCTATGTTTTGGTGGACTCCATGGAGCTCTCCATGGAGCTCTGTATGGAGCTCAGGCAGTCTGAAGAAATGGTAAGCTCAACTTCAGGTATCTTGGAGGTATAACCCAGAACCCCAACAAACCACTCTGCTGATTTTGTCTCTAGGCAGGGGCAATATTCCTTCAGAAAGAAGGAATGAGAACCTCTTATACAGGATCAACCAGGAAGACACGTGAAACAAAGACAGAGCAACACCACTCTGGATCTGCTTTTCTAAGTTAACAAATGAAAACTGTGTGTGTGTGGGTGGCCCAAACAATGTATACACATGCAAGTATATGTAAAAACAATAAAATAAAAATAAGTAAAATAACTAAAGCAGAAAGAGACAATTGTATCATTGTCATGGTGATAGGTCTTTCAACTAAAGACTATCCAAGACCAACCAGCTTCTTCTGTTTCAGTGGGAAACCAAAGCAGGGAAGCAAGTACACACATTAGCAGAGAAGGCGCTAGTCAGCGATGCCCACATGATAGATCTCCATGTTCACTGAAGTAGATTCCACCTAACAGCAGTTCCACAAAACGCTCCCCTAGAGCATGTTAACAGAGCTTGGTGATGCTATTATTCACAACGTATCTTTTTTTTTTCTTTTGTCTTTTCTTTTTTGGTGCTGGGATCAAACCCAGGGCCTCACGCATGCTAGGCAAGCGCTGAACCACCGAGCTACATCCCAGCCCTATTCACAGCATATCTTGCTTTGACAGTTACAAAACAGTACCCATTACAGACAGAAAGTCCTGCAGGAATGAAAACAAACTTATTTCAGAAAGGTTAAATTCAACCATTTTGGCCACAGAGCCTTTTTTTCATTTAAAATTCCACTTGGCAAACACTAACATACATAATGCCACACAACGTATCTTAAGGGCCAGGGATGTAGCTCTGTGATAGAATACTTACCTAGCATACACAAGGCCCTGGGTTCCAGCACCACAAAAACAAAACATGGTGCCTTAAGTTGAAAATCAGAGCACATGGCTCCTCTTCCTAAAACCTTTAATAACTTCCCAGTATACTTCAAGTCAATTCTCGTTTCACCTGGCCCTGCTGGTCTCAGACCTTGTCTTGTATTATGCTCGCTTTCTTACTGTTTCTCAAATACACCATCTCTTCTTCAGATTCAAGACGTTCATATATCTGATTCCTTCTATCTGGCCCTCCTCACATCCTGGGAACTGCTCCATCTCAGGTCAAGGGTTACCTCCCAAAGAGTCTTTCCCTGAATCTCCTGGCTTGTTATTTTTCCATCTCAGTTCTTTATTTGGAAACAAACTGCCACTAGGTGCACATTCTGGCCCTACCTTAACCTGCTGTGTGACTCTGTATTGCAGTTTCTTTTCCATGAAACAGATAATCATGGTCACGTGACAGAGAGTTGTGAGAATTGAATGTATTCAGTAAGTTCCTGGCATACTGCAAGCTCTCAGTAGGAGTTAGTGATTGCTACTGTTTCCAGCATCTCCCCTATTGACAAGCTGTTGACTGGTTTTTGTCTTACCTGACTCCCAACTAGACTGTGAGCTCAGTATGTGTGGAAGTCCTTCCACCTTGAACCCTAGCACTCAGAATGAGGTGTGGTTGCTGAATGAGTAACTGAATGGAGACCTAGGCTTGTCAAAGGCCACATTTTCATTTGGAAAAACAGCTCTTCTTAAAATCAGTCCCAGAAGGCATCAAGAAGGAAGAAGCTAAAGCACCGAGTAAAGTCAGCTCTGCTTCCACTGACAGGCACTCACTTCCACAGCTGCGCATTCAGATGCTTCTCCACCATGAGGTTGAGGGCACAGCGAAGCCGATTCCACCTGGAGTCAAACACGTAATAGCCTCTTCCAATCTGTCGGCTCCCGAATGTGCAAAACTGAAACAGAGAACACAGCACACACGCTTGCTACCTCCAACACCAGAACATAGGTGAAGACTCTTGTTCAAGAAAGGAGCTTATCAGGAGAGACAGAATTGACTCCTATGAAGGATAAGCATGACAGTGCCTAGTGCTGACTTTTAATGGAATAGCATGAGAGATCCCCAGGTCAAGTGCAGCACATACACAGGGGCGCCCTGTTCTGAACTGCTTTCACACCTTGACTGCATCCCAACCAATGGGCATGCCAAGGTCCCTGGCTTGCCCCCATGAAGTGCCCTTTCCACACTGCAGGGGAAGGGAAAATGCAGAGGTGGATGTGGAACTTACAGATGCTGGCTGAGGATGATGACCTGAATAATGACAGTCCAGTTTTTCAACAGACTCTTCTTTGTCATCGCCTTCGCCCTCCTCACTGGATAACCGAGAAGCTGGCTCAGTGGCAGGCAGGGGAGGGTGTGGAGATTCATGGCCTGGAGGAGGGTCAAGGGGGGCACTCCCACCTTGCTGAGCAGGGCAGCCTGGAGGCCTTGGTGAGTAGAAAGTGCAGCATGGATCAGATCACACTCCCGGGAATCAGCCACCTTAACTCACATGCAACAATATATCCAAAACCATCTGGGGCCTGGGTTCTATCGCCATCCTAGGGAAACAAGCTCATCTAGGCGGCAGGGGAGGAAAGGTACCACTCGATAATAATGTAAGCTATCTGCCAAATACAACCAAAGGCAACTTGTTACTATTCTCCCTTCTACAGCCACTTGGTTAACTCATGTCCCTTTCTATTCTCCACAAAGAGGAGAAATACATGTGGAATTTAAAGATAATCATTTCCTTGATTACTCTTCAAATTTCAACTGGAGTCACTAAGGCAATAAATGAAATTAACAGCAAGGTGTTCTAGGCCAACCTATGAGGGAAAGCAGATAATAGAATGAGGTGGTGTCACTACTTCATATGGGTACTTGGGAGTCCATTACTCAATGGCAGTAATGTTTTCTTCCTACATCTATGATGGCCTACTGGTTCTGGAAATAAGCTTACGTTTTCATAGATGGAAAAACTTCATGAGAAGATTCCAAAGAAAGGACTTGCTAAGGAATCTTGGGTTAGGGCCTGACCACACTCTGAGGAGCCTCTACAGACAGCAAATTCAGTACATTGCATAGAAACCACAGGGCTCATGTTGGGGCTGGCTCAGGTACACGCTTGGATCATCATAAGGGAGGTACCTCTACCTTTAGGTAGCCACTCCATGAATTAGACACACAAGGATCAAACAGTAAGTGACAGCAACCAAGAATCACTCACTCTCAGCAGAAGCCCAGTGGCCAATACTGAAGCTACTCATTGTCTATGCCTTACTCTTTCTCTTCCCTCTGGAAATGAGTCCAAAATCCTTTACTTCAACTTAGTTACATGTGTAAGCACAAATACACACATAATCTCCCATCACTGTCTCTGAGGTATGTGCATGATAAATTGTTAAAACTCACGGCTTGCTATGTTGCTAAAATGCTTGGTCTATGCTCAGGACCAGGTCCCAAATAAATGAATGAAAAACCATGTTGGTAAATGCATACTATAAAAACTCAGGCTACATGTCTGTCCCCAACAAGAATTCCTATTGCACTGCTGTATTTTGCAAGAAGCAAGAAATGGATGGTAAACTTCTGCCAAAGCTATGTGAAATGTTCCCATCAGTAACCTGCAGGAAGCCCCCAATTTCAACCCTGCTCAAAGGGATTAAGAGAAACCCGACATCAAACATGTTGGGCAGATAATTCTAGTGTTATCCTGCTGCTTATATTTTCAAACAAGAAGAGCCCTGGGTGAAACTTTAAAACAACCTTGACAATTTTTGAAGTAAAACCCTATTTAAAAAAATCTCCATAATGAGCATGATGTGTGTGTCTTGAAATCACACTGTCCTGGGGGGTAATTGTGTCTGAGTCTGTTTTCCGAAGGAGGGAAAAGAGCCAGAGTGTGACTTACCTTGGAAGACTGGGGGTGTGAGGTTTAGGTTTACTAGCTACAAAAGGCTTTGATTCAGAAGGAATCACTCCGTGAGCATTTTGGTGTGGCTCCTGCGACGTTCTAGGAGGGGTGGGATGCGGGTCCCTGAGAGGCTGTGGTGGTTGCTGAGAGTCCAGATGGCGAATCGATTCCTTTTCCCTGGTTTTGTTTTTGTGCTCGGCTAATAACACATCAAATCGTTTTCTTCTACCCTGAACAGCCCTCCTCTGGGTTAAGGAATGTGTCTACAGACCAAAAGAATATATTAACTGAGGACTCTCAATAATAATTTTTATCTGTCACATATCCTAAAACACCACTCTCCATAAAAAAGCAATCTACACCATTAGTCTAGTCAAAGACTGATCAACATTTATTAACCAAGAAGTCTCAAGAATAGGATCTTTTCTCCTCAGCTAGGTAAGAAGTTCTAGACTCTAGCTGTGGACGAATCTGGGGATGTTACTTCATCACAAGAAAAGGTAAGTGTTATCTGTGCCACCTGGGATGGGAATGAGTAGCAAACAGTAGAAGCAGGTGACAAGTACTCATGTTTTGTGCCATAAGGGCAATTCATTTATTGAGGTTCTTAGAAATTCCATAAAAAAAAATCCCTCTTTTGACCATTTAAAATTCTAAATATTAATGTAAAAGAAACAATTATTCCATAAAACATGTCTTAGGAAATTATTTTTTTTTAGTAACTGCCAGAATGCAAAAATTAAACACAACTAACCCCCTTTTGTATTCCAATAGAAATGACATGTAAAGAGAGAAAGTGGCTCACAGTACTTGAGAGACAGACTGCTATAGTTGAGAGAAGTAGAGAAAATGCACTGAGAGAGTAAGAGCTGTGAACAGGAAAAGATAGGAAAGCAAAGTGAATCTCTAGAAAGAGCTACTTGCCCTGCAAGTCAGGAAAACTAAACAGATGGCTCCCTTAGGTTTGCAATGTCCAATCCAGAAATAGGAAATGGGCACACAGAAAAAAGGTCAAATTATGGCAGCGCTGGCTTTAAGAAGGCAGTCAAATTAAACTTGTGGTTGAAGCACATCTTATAAGAAAAAGTATGTGTCCTAAATTCAATTGATAATTACTAGCATTTAAAAAAAAAAAAAACCAGAATACTTGGAGCTTAATGCTTTTCCTAGCAAGAGGTAAAGCTGAATGTACAGGTATAAAGTGCTCAGTCAGACAAATATGAAATGATTTTGTAGGTCAAGTCAGCCTATTACACATATATACTGTTGGTGTCTCAGTCTGTAAAAATCCTAGTAGATACTAATCTAAGGTAGCCCCTCTCACATATCTACCAACATAAGTAAACTGGTCTACATGTTTCCTTCTCTCTTTTAGGTTACAAAATACCATAAATAACCAATGTATTCCTCTATAGGTTTGCATAGTATGTTAGCAACAAATTTAAGGGGAATTATGTTTCAAACTTCATTTGAAAGTTAGTAACTTTATAACTAACCTTTTACTAGACATAGTACAAACAATGTCTGCCCCAAATCTAACCTGGTACAGATGAGTATGTTCAGCTTCTTTTAAAATTTTTAGTTTTCCTTCTATAGAATATATCCACAAGAAAGTATTATAAATGAGTATTTTAATATTGTTCTGTTCAGTGCAATATGTACCAGCACCCAGAACACCTGCCATGTAATAAATGCCTCAAACAAAAAGCATGTAAAAATAATGACCTCTAATACATGGTGAAAAAAATGAATGAACATATGCCATCACTGCATATCTCATCAGACAGTACAGACTCTCTTCATCTCTGACTGTCCCTTGATACTTAGCACAGCAAAGCCAAGTGAAGAAAGAAGGCAAGACAGTATCATCCCAGCTCTATTTGAAAAGCAAATAGATTTCCACTGAGCTCTGAAGAACATTTCAAGTAGAAATCTGATGACTTGCCCCACCCCAAATAGAACTCTTCAGCAGTTGCTTCAAGGCACACAGGAAAAAAGACTGACTGTGTAAACAGGTTTCTGGGGCCCTTCATGCTCGAGACCATGAGCCTAGGGTATTGTGTGCCTCTTCCTCTCTCTTTCTCTTCAGCCTCCTGTCCATCTTTCAGGCTGTGTGAGATGTTTGCTATGCCCTGTTACAGGTCTTCCACCTCTCTCCCTAGATGCCCAGCATAAAATTTTAGCCTCTTCACCCAAACCTTCCAAATGTAGGCTCTCATAACCACAGGCCTCCTCCGTTCTATAAATCACTAGAAGTGATTTAAATTTATCTGAGTCATCTCCACCTCCTCCACTAGCCTATAAGCTTTACAAGGACAGAGAGAACGACTTGATTTTGTTAACTTCTATATTCTCTGGGAGCTAAAATGAGGCTTATACTCACAGATGCATGCAATAAAGTTACTTGGTACAATGATTGAATGGACAAAGGCTAACAGAGTCACAAATCTCTGCATGGAAGGCACAGGGGACATCAAACAGGAGGCTTGATTGATGAGCAAGTGAGAGTGGGAGGCAGTCAACATGGAACAAGTGATGGGAGCGAACAGTGGCAAATGCCCTGCCAGGGAAAAGAACACACAACAGTCTAAAACAGAAGAGACTTGGCAGCAAACCAGGGACATGCAGGTTAGAAGACCCAGGCATGTTAAGTCCTACAGAGCTTAACAGTGTCAGGTCAAAGTCAAAGTAAGGAGAAGGAGAAGAACTGACAGGACAATGGAAGAAAGTAAAGGATCCCAGTGAAAGTACAGGCCTGCTGGAAGGCTGAATATCTTGCCAGTTCTATGCTGAACTCATGACCAGTCAGGGATAAGATACAGACTAATGTAACAAAAAGCTCAGTGCCATGCTATAGACAGCAATGACATCCTTAAAAGAGCAGAAGAGCATCATTTGAAAAGGAAGACAGGTGGTGGAATTCAGGTCACCTATCAATAAAGGCATAGGAGGAATGGAGTGAAGCTCCTTGCACTTCTCAGTATTTACCCAAAAGAACTTAAATCAGAGCCTTGAAAGAGGAAGGAATATTATTCTCTAGGATAGAAAGCTACTCAGTAAAAACAAAACCTCTCAAGAGTACAATTCATAACATACTTCCCATCTTCCCAATTTGAGCCTTTCTTCATTAGAACCTAGTTATTCCCTCATTGACACAACTCTATAAGCAATCTACAGCATTGGCTCCCCCATGTATCAGAGAGACTAGGAAAGCGGTGGATACTTCTCAATGCCCTGTGCTTATCAGAGTCTTCAACTTTGCCTTCAGAAGGCTACCTACCTTGCATGTCAAAGACCGGGTACAGGGCTTCTTGGTGTCGAGATCAATGACCCCACAGTGGATGTCAGGATCAAACTCTCTTTCTGTCAAGAGCACACAAACATTACAATGAGCTCTCCACATACTCCATTTATTTTGTAAATAAGCAAATAGGAGAAATCTCAAGATAGACAAATTACAGCTTGATCAAATCTGTCACGTTATTGAAAATATAACAGGTAATGTGTGAGCAAGAAAGCAGGAACATTGCCACAAGACCACAACTGCCACCAGATGCTGCAAAGATGTTGTTTATACCAGCATTACTGTATCACTGCATTCAGAAACACAACACTAGAAAGCTATTTTTACATCACACACACACCACGTGTATCCAAGCACACTAAGGAACTTCCTCCTAAGGCTGAAGTAGACCAGTTTTAGAAAGAGGTCTTAAAGATAGCAGTTCATTTGCTCCTTGTGATGCCCACTTAACACTCACAGAAATACTGTTAGGAGAGAATTGTGAAGTTACCTGATAATCTCTTATTTAAAAACTTCCTGTTATTGGAAATGTCTTCAGATTTTTTTTTCAGAGTAGGTGGTGCAGGAAGCCCTTTGCCATTCATAATCTGTCCAGGTGAAGGCAAGGTCGGCTTTGGTATTGAGGGGCAGTTAAGGCCAGGCTTGACTGAGGAACTCACAGTAGCAGGACAGGTTGGCCCCACTGCAGATTTCAGTAGTGTGCCATCCATCTTCGGATGCATCTTTTCCACCTTCACAGAGGGTGTCATGCTGTCAGAGGAGAAAGTGAGAACAGCAGTGAGTGAGTGCCTGGTTCTGTCTGAGCACTGCACAGGGCCAGCTCCCTGGAAGGCACTTTATGAATTTTGTTAAAATTATTCAGAAAAAACAGTAAGGCTCACATTTAATCAGACTTAAGCCCTTTCAGAGACAAAAAGTCCAGTGAACCATCAAATTTACCTGTCTTTCATTATTTCAGAAAAATTTTACAAAGGACCTGTGGGAGACTGAGACCCTGATACCTAATACAGTTTCTGTAAGAAGCCAAACATGAAAAGGTCAAAAAGGACCAAAGACTACCTACATAATCCTTAGAGGATATCTTATAAGAACCATCATTTTTAAAGACAGGATTCATTAAAACAAACTGCACAGTAACCTAATACCTTTAGTACTGTCAGTGAAGATGTAGGAGAACTCAAAACATAATGCCAAACATAGATGCCTAACAAATACATCTCCAAGAAGAGGGTTCTACTTTTGTCAATGGAGAGGACCAATGTCTCATCAGTACATGGCGTAGCACTGACATGCACCTGGTACCCGGCTGGTAAGCAGAGGATCTGTGCCACTAACACTGCACTGATTTCTTTCGGGATCTTCTTGACACTATTGCTTTGCTTAGTAAAACTGATGATGTTGACAGGATACTAACAGCTGGTCTGGCCCACTTCCAAAGTCCTGACTTCACACAAAGAAGACCTGGATTGATGAGCTTTTGCAAACTTTGTTCAAGGAGTCACTGCTCTGACAGCTGTTAAGCTGACAAGTGACTTACACATCACACTGGCATTTTCTTTGGCTTTCAGACAGCTCCAGGAGTGAAAGTCAAGCTTGTATCACACTTCTCACAGAGGAGCAGGGGATGGGGGCTTAGAAACCAGGACAAACAGCCACAAACAGCTGTATCTGGAATAGCCTGACAGCAGCAGAAAAACTGCAAGATGTCTCCCAGCTAGCAACATCCTTGAGCAATAGCAGGTGCTGGACCCTGCCCTGAAATTAATCAGGCTATCAGACCTTGGGACTAAGATATGTGGCATACCCTCTAAAGGTAGATAGGCCAGGGAAAAGCCACCTGCCACCAGGATAAGGGATGCCACGATGAAGCAAGGCATGTTTCTATGGGAGTGCTGTTTCTTCATGTGACCTCAAGGAGCATGCCAAATTCCAGATCCACCCTGAAAACCTGCCAAAGCCTTGCAAGGAGAGTGTAAACTTCTTCTAGTTTCCCTCATCACACTGTGACATGAACTCAAAGCTGGCAGGAGGAAGCACTGCTTCCCTATTTCCTTTGCAGGCCCCTCAAAATCCTAGACCTAAGGCTGGGTTGGGCAGCTCTTCACTTTTTTACCAAAGTGAAGAGAAGCAGCAGCTTGACAGATACTAACCAGAGTCCCCCACAATCCTGCACAGGATGTTCTTAGACTCCAAGAGAAATAGTGCCTTGCCCAAAGCCTTCAACTAGGAAGTAACACAAGTGGGATGTGAACCTGGGCCCATGTGACTTAAGATCTTCTCACACAAAACTCCTCAACCTAAGCTTCTTTCTCCTCATGTGGCAAATGGGATTAACAACTCCTATTCATCAGAGAATGCTGTCATCATTAAATGACACAGTACACAGAGCTTACTTTCAGTAACTGGCACACAGGAAAGGGTTAATGAGTAAGTATTACTAGCCTTCTCATTATTGCTATCACTACTCTGAAACTCTCCTAAGGCATGACAGGGAAACAAAAAGAACCAACAGCATGTACTTAAACTGCCCCAAGTGGGCTCTTTCATATAGTTCGCGGACACTCTCAGCACTCATAAGCATAGTTCATTTCCAGCAGGTAAACTTTATGAAACCTTGGGGCCATACTCACACTCTACTAGGGGGGACTCTACTCTGCTGAATGGGGTGCATGGGCCTGGTGTTCCCCCTGAGCTGCAGTTTCTCTTTGGGCGATTTCAACAACTTGGAACTGGACGAGGACGTGAAAAGGACCCCTCCACTGGAAGACCGGCTGCTTCCACTTGCACTGCCTCCTTTGCTTTTGGACAGAGAAGGGAAGAAGGAAAATACTGAAGTAGGAGGAACAGCCAAAGAAGACTTGCTGGATGAGCTATGTCTTCTTTCTGAAAAGCAAAACAAAGAAGAAAAGACACCATGTTTCCAGCAAATCTCAAAAAAAAAAAAAAAAAAACAAAAACAACAAACCAACACATTTAGGTTAAAAATCAACACATTTGGGTTAAAACATGTCCAATTAAGTGAAAATGTACTAAACACAGCAGCTTTCAGAAGGGCTTATCTAGGTCCCACAGACTTACTCAGGATTCAAAAAACTAGTCTTCCTGTTTCCAGCGTGTCTCGGCATAAAGAGGTTTATCAGATATACCCATTAGGAAATTAACCATTCTATATATCAGCAACTGCCTTTTGGGTTTTGTATGTTACAAATCAAGCGCTCACGGGCTCTACCCTCTACTCAGAAGAAAATTATTCACTCATCTGCAGAACTGTTAATTGATACTTCATGGAATTTTCTTTCTTTCTAGTATGGCATCTAATTTTCAAAATAGCAAAATCTTCCCAGCACCGGAAAAAAAAAGGAAAAAAAACAAAACAAAAAAAAAATCCTTTCTCATCCAAAATAGCAAAATCTTAAACAAGTTGAACCTCCTTCACTACCCACCAGCATAAGACACTAAGTAAGTACCAAATAAGAATGATTCCAGGGTTATCTTATCATTCCTTAAGAATCTGTACTGAAATTTTCCAGTGAAGCATTTCACCGCCCACCCCCCCTTATTTTTAATAATCTCACTTGACTACAGATGGCATAGCTCCAGTTTACACCACTAAGATACCAAAGATGCAAGACAAAAATGCCACAAATAGCTAGGTCTTTCTTTTTGTAAACTAGGAAGTAATTCATGGTTAAGTACAGACTACAAAGGTTTAACTGAGAATAAATCTATCTACTACAGAATCAAGTTTTCTGAGTAAAGCAATTCATACTAATATAAATCAAGAGCTGCTGAAAAACATTACCATCAGAAACAGGCTTTAAAAAAGAGAGAAGGAACAGGCTAATTATTTGGTAATTTTATTTGCTTAAGAACTCTGTGATGGTAGTTTAGTGGCTGCCTTCAATTACACTTGGAATTTAAAACCACAAATTTGCTTAACTCTTAAGTTTTAATATGTATACAATAGAACACTGACATCTCAGTACAGGAGCTATGTGGGTACTTAAAATATTAAGCATGTGAGCATTAGTGACTACAGCATCATTTAAAAGGTTTATTTCTAAAGACTTCTTTTAGTACTGTGGAGACTTTCAGGGAAGCTGTGACAACTTATTCCCAGATGGACAGTAGTCCAGAAATGCTTTATGAGGTACTTAAGAGTCTGCTTCATAACAGGACAAAATGATGTTATTTACAGACAAAATCTAAACTCCAACTCAACCACACATAGGGTATAATCAAGTCAGGAAGCCTAAATTGATAGTGATATGCCCCCACCCCCATTACAAACTTTTATGTGCAAGGAAGGAAAAAACTAAAGTAACTTCAGTTTAATCATTTCTAAAATGTGGAACCTGAGACGCGGTTTATTTTGTTATAAATTCTGTTTTTCTTAGCCAGGTATAGTGGTATATGCCTATGGTCCTAACACTCAGGAGGCTGAGAAAGGTTTGAGACCAGCATGGGCTGCATCGTGAGACCTTGCAAAAACAAAACAAACAAAACGCATGGAAATTAAGCCTTTCCCTTTTCCTCTTCTCTTTTCTTTTGGCAGTACTAGGGTTGGAACTAAAGTCCTTGTGTGCTTGCTAGGCAAGTACTCTGCCACTTGAGCTATGCCTCCAGCCCTTTTTGCTTTAGGTTATTTTTTAGATAAGCCTTTCTTTTTTTTGCCCAGAGGATTGGCCTGGACAGATATCCTCCTTCCTACAACTTCCTGCATGCTCTCCTGCTTGGAAATTTAGTTTTTCTTACTGTCATTCCAAAACACTCTGAACATACTCCCAAAGCTCCAGCAGTTGCCAGTCATTACTGTAAACATGTTTACAGTTTTGCTGCCTGCCATGGCTGGGCAGAGCTTCCACAAGCCTTGTCTCTAATCTTCCTATATAAGGCATGCCACAAAATAGATCTTCAGTTAACATTTGTAAGACTGGCACAGCTCTTCTGAAAAGGAAAGTTTTTCAAATGCCCCTAGACCAATGATTCTCAACCTTGGCTACTCTTTGGAATGACCCAAGGAGCTTTCAAAAACACTGATGCCCATACCCCTCCAATTAAGATTGTGACTTAATTGGTCTGAGGTGTGGCTTGGGCATCCAGACTTCTACAAGCTTCTCTGTGTGACTGTACTGTGCAGCCAAGGTTGAGAGTGTGTCCTAGACTAGGCTAATGACTCAAGAACCATTGACTATGGGGTGAGTAAGTTAGTATCTGCATATCGTAAACTGCTACTACATATCCTTAACTAGTGATTTCCAAACTTCTACCAACTCCAAACTATTTTTATCATCTTACCAAAGCTACATAAAATACTATTTTTTTTTTGTCTTTTCTTTTTTTTTTGGTGCTGGGATCGAACCCAGGGCCTCACGCATGCTAGGCAAGCGCTGTACCACCGAGCTACATCCCAGCCCGAAAATACTATTTTTTAAATCAACATTTTTATTTAAATTATTTTCAACTGTATCAATCCCTCCCTCCTCTTTGTTCTTCTCTAGACTGGGGTTTGAATTCAGGGCCTCATCTTTGCTAGGCAGGCACTCATTTAGAGCCGCACTCCCAGCCCTCCCTCCTCCTCAATTCTAATGGGTCTCTCCGGGGGATCATACAGGCAACATACAGGATTTCTGGATGGTCAACTAGGAAGTCCCCCACCACTTAATCACTAGTAATGTCCCTCTGCCACAGACAACTTGAACTCTCACACCATCATTTCCATATAGTTTTAGGGTGAAGCAGAGAACCACTGCCATCAGTTGACACATATTTTTTCAAAGCAATATATCTGTGAAACAAAAGGTTTAACAAGTTTATGTTATTTTGATAGACTAAAATGACAAAAAATTAACATGAAAATATCCATGCATGGTCATTCACAAAAAAAGCATTATGTACACCCTTGGGCAGTAAAATGAGGGAGTAAGTACCTGTTAGAAAAAGGTGCAAAACCCACAACCAGAACTGTGGACTTCTGAGCACACTCCTTTTATTCCCTGGGTACTAGAATTCTCAAACAGGTGTCTCAAAACAAATGTACACATGGTCCCCAACTTATGAAGGTTCAATTTACAAGTTTTTGACTCCATGAAGGTGTAAAAGTGATACTTGTTCAGGTAAACCGAATTTGGATCTTTGAATTTTTATCTTTTCCTGGGCTAGCAATACATAGCACAATCCTTTTTTGTAATGCTGGGTGACAGCTCCCTGTCAGGCACGCGATCTTAAGGGGAAACAACCCATGGTGCTAAGGTGTGCAGTGTTGCTAAGCTAGGATAGGATGTTCAGTAGGTTAGGTGCATTAATGTATTATTACTGTTATTATTATTTTTTTGGTGGAACTGGGTTAGAATTCAGAGTCTTGTGCTTGCTAGGTAAATGCTCTACCACTTACGCCATGCCTCCAGTATGTATTCTTGTCTTACAATAATTTAATCTTGTCATAGGTTTACTGAGATGTGGCTCAATCATTAGTTGGACAGTAGCTGTAATATATTGTCTCTTAAAATCAAATGATTAAATAAAGTTTCCAACCTAATTATAGTCAGCTGTTATGTTTGTTTTGGGAATGCAAATTTATTCCAGTCATTGATATGCTAGGGAATAATGTGACCATAATGAAAATTTGTATTTGCTTTGGTCTGCCAAAATCACTAGGTCAATGCAGAAAACTACATCTGGCTGAACTAGTCACATGGGAGTACATAAAATGCATATACCTCAAGATCTACAATCTACCTCAGTTCACCATGAGTGTTACGAAGCACACCTCTCCACATCTGGTGTTGCAAGTTCCTGTCCAGCCCCATATAGTTTTCCCACCACTTCCCAATAATTCAACAGTTGCAATCCTCTCCACACCAACATGAGAGGTAAATGCTATCTCTTTTCAAGGTAAATGGCCAAATTTCTGGCCAAATTTCTTAGTATTTATGTATTTTTCGACCATTTAAAGCGTAAGACTATGTTACCATTTTCATTAGGTTCCTATCTTTTCTATGACTGTCACTGATGAAATTTTAGAGTGTTGAGCCATAAACCCATTTTCCCAATAAGCCTCATGTGTTTTTTATTGCACAATTTCGCAGTAATTTTTAAGGAATGCATGTTGTATTACAGCAGAACTGACTGTAACTTTCGTCTTGTCCCTTCAATATTCTATTTCCATTATGGTCCACTCACTGTTTTCATTAGTTAACATCTTTCTTTGCCTATTAACTCTTAGTTTGGATTCAGCATTAGAAAATCAACACTCAAAACTTCCTAATACTAAAAGTCTGCTGACATATCAGTATTTCCCAAAATTCCTATAAAAAAGCTAGTTAAAAACTAAGAAAGGCAATCTATCATGTGAATTCCTCATTCACTAAAACTTGAAACCGATTATATCTGTGTATGTAACTGAAATTGTGGCTGAAAAGTGCCGGCTCAAATCCTTGTCACGCTACTGAATTAGGTTGTTCCTTCACAACACAAACTGGTAATTTACTCTGTGAAAAGGACATCTCACTTTCTCTTCACAAGGAAGCAAAGACAAAAAATGTAAATTTAATTATAGTTGAATTGGACTTCCCTTATCTTTCAATATGGGTCCTTATTTTTCACAAAATTTTAAATAAGGCTTACAGCTTTAAAAAAGTATTTGTTCCAAGATCAATACAGAAAGGGACATCTTACAGAAAAGGTTAGGGACCCTCTGTTAAGTGGACAAAGTGGTGGCCAGATGCTAAGCCTAACTGCCATGTGGTTTGCTGAGGAGTCCAAGTTGAGTTTTCAAAGCATTCCTTCTCTGGACCTGGCACCAGCCCAGGAAAAGCACACTCTGTTCTTGAATGAGCAGGGTACTGTGAATGGCTCCAGCAAGTGAGAGAAAGGCAGGCTGA